TGGGCTCAAGCTTGCTGTCTTCCTGCCTCAGCCTCCCAGAGTGCTGGGCTTAGAGGCTTGAGCCACCACACCCAGTTCGGCTCACTGTTTTTTCTCGCTGTTTTGCCTGACCCTGGAGCCCATGAGCCTGAAGGCACCTGCTATAAAAGCAGGGACTAAGAACTCCTTGCTCTTTCAGTGTTTGGGGATAGATGCTCAGAGACTGCCACTTTCAGAGTGGCCTTTTTTTTTATTTTGTCTTTGACTGGGAAGTGAAACAGAACTGGGGGTTTACTTAGGCGGGAAGGAGGTCGCATGCAACGCCGTGTCTGTGACCAGCACTGACTGCGAGGTGGGTTTCCGGGCCAAGCTCGAGGGACGGGGGACGGAGCGCTAACATCAGCTCGTTGTCAGGGGTCACCCAGTGCCCACGCAGAGAAGGGACGGGAGCAGCACCCAGGAAGTACCGCGCCCCGTCACCCACCGCCCCCCAGCCCGCCTTGCCTCGTCTGGCACCTCAGGGCTGTGCTGATCCCGGGCGACATCCCTGGGGCCACTCCCGCTGTCACTGTGTGTGCCATCCTTCATGTCCCTGAGCAACGCCTTCAGCATGTCCATTTGCTCAATTAGAAATAGAATCTCACGAAAATTGTTCTCCAGAGTCTGGCTTTCCTTCCTGCACGCGGAGAAGCACAAGGTCAGAGAGGACGTGGGATGTTCTCCCCGTTGGGAGATGGTCTGGGCTTCGCGCCTCCGCCAGGAGGGGTGCTTGGTGCTGCGGGACAGACACACTGCCAAGGGGGAGAGCAGGGTATGCATGCGTGGAAAGTGTCACGGGTACCACGTAGAAGCCATGAGGGCAGCGGGTGACACCTTCTCTGGTGCCCACGTGCCTAGCTAGCTCTGCACGGGGAGGAGGACAGGACTCAGCCAACCCTCCTCATCCTCCAGCTGGGTGATCTCACATCTGTGAGTCCTAAGTCCCAAACGTCACACTCCTGCTAATGGGGACAGCTTGCATTCCAGGTGCAGTACAGGACGCTGGCCCGGAGTTCACGGAAAGAGCCTGGACCCAGCTGGGGTCCCGCTACCTTTTGCTGGTTTTACAGCCTGCATGTGCCAGATTTCACCTTCTCAGAATTACTGGTAGAGAGACTAAGAAAATATTAAACAAACAGGTATTTTCTCATGTTGAAAAAAAAAAAAAAAAAAAAAAACAAGCACTACTTGTTTAGTTTTCCCCCCTAAATTGTAAAACAATATATCTTTAACGCTGGGAAAACACAAATATTTCAAAGAATCAACACTATTAAATTTCAATGAGATCTAGTAGTTTTTATTTCCTGCAAAAGTCAGTAATGAAATAGGATTATATTTGTGATTGTGTGTCCTAGTACACTCTGAAAATGAAATACATTTTAGAATTATTTTAATAGCTTCATAACTCCATTAGTACATGGCTACACTCTAATGTATTTAAACTTTGGTCTACTTTTCTCACCTAAAAATGGTTGTTTTCCTTTTTTTGTGTGTGATCATGATTAACACTGAAAGTAAACTGAGAGCCAGGGATATAGCTCAGTGGCACAGTGCCTGCCTGGCAAGCACAAGGTCCTGAGTTCGATTCCCGGTACCAGGAAAAAAAAAAAAAAAAAAAAGCAAGTAAATTGAGTGTGTATTTCCTTAAAGACTGATCTATGGAAGTAGAAATATATAAGAGGGCCAATGACTTCCTAAAGTAATAAAAATACGATTGTTTTGACTGATAGGTATGGATGCTTACTTTAAAGAAAAAAATCACCAGATGTGGTGGTGCACACCTGTACTCCTAGCGCTCTGGGAGGCTGAGGCAGGAGGATGGCAAGTTTAAGCTCAGCCCGGGCAATTTAGTGACTTAGCAAAATCCTGTCTCAAAATAAAAAATAAAGAAGTGTCAGGGATGTAGATTAGTGTGAAGGCCTTATGTTCACCAAGTGAGTGCACAAAAAAGGGATAAAAAATAAAGATATACAGGTGTTGGTGGCCAACAGGACAAGGCCCTGGAAAGTGCCCTTGCTGGCATGAAGAGGGGAGGCAGAGTGCTATGGAGATCAGGTTTTGGTTTTTAATTCTGCAAAATCATCCCAGCCTTTGGGACCACACCGGAGTGCGGCGCGTGGCACAAATCTCACTCACTTTAGAAGTTCCAGCTGTTCTTTGGGCATGCGAAATCTGGCCTGGAAAAAAAGATAGATACGTCACTCTGAATCCTGCCTGTCCAAGGGGAGCTGTTTCTCCTCGGAGATCACACCCTTTCCTGCTGAAATCATACCGGGACCCTGGCTCCACACCCCGAAAAGGCAGCTGGGGCCCAGCAGTGCCCCCGAGGTGCACACGACTTCCTCAGCCTGCTGGCGTGGGGTTACCAATGCCCAGCGCCAGGGCGGCCCAGTACTCTGCGGGGGGTTGGGGGGACTGAGTCTCCCGCTTCTGGGGTGACAGAGCGCCAAACAGCCTCAGGGATCTAGAGAGGCGAGGGCGAGCGGAGGTGGGGGGGAGGGCTGGAGGGCAGGTGCGTGTCCAGGGTGGTTTCCAGGAGCCGCGTGTACACCAGAGGGACACGCTGAGCCCTGTTTCTGCAGGCGGAGTGGAGTTCCCAGTCCCCATCGGGAGACGGCAGTGCTCTGTGCACACTGACAAGGGGGCCCGGCTGAGAAGGAAGGCGTCCTGAAGGCCTGCACGCCCTCCTGTGCCAGCCCTGCACACAGTCATGCACGTTCACACACACTCTTGCACACATGCACCACACACATGCACTTTTGCACACACATGCGCCTACTAACACAAATGCACCCACATGCATGTACGGTCATGCACATACAGGCACATGCATCATGCATGTTCACACACTCCTTCACAGACACCTATATGCTGCACACACCTACATGCACTAACACACGTATACTCACGTGCACACACAGATCCAGCGTTTGCTCTGACTTAATGCCTTGACAAGGTTGATATCATTACTGAGAGGCAAGGGGAGGGGAGGGGTCCTGCGGTGTGTGGGAGCCCAAACAGAGCAGACAGAGGTCAGAGGAGAGGAGACAGGAAGAGGATGCCCCCCAGGATCCCAGTAGCAGTGGTCAGCAGTGGTCACCTGCAGAGGGCCGGCCTGGAACATGCCTGCTCCCGTCTGTGGTGTGCTTCCCACCTCGGGTCCCTGCTGTCCACCTCACCAGGTGCCAGGAGAAGCATGCAGGTTAGGGCGCAGGAACACTAAGGAGGGACCCGCTGGGGCTGAGCCAAGCCAGCACTTTCCTTGCGCCTCGACGGTCACTTAGGCCTTGGAAGGTCCCAGCGGCGTCTCTGTAATTCTCTCCCAGCCCAAGCCCCTCCTGTGTGTGGAGGCCACCCAGATGCACAGCGTCCTTCCCCTGGAGGACAAAGCTCACACTTCTGGAGCACAAAAGAGACCCTGAAGCGGCTGCATGGGTTTCCAAACTGGGGCCTGGAAACACCACACATTTCTTTCAGCTCTGCAGGCCGGAAGTTGGAGTCCACGGGGTCCACAGGCGACACTGCCCTCCGAAGGCCTCTAAGAGAGCCCCCCTTTGCACAAAATCGCCCTGAGGAGCAGTGGAGACACAGCCCCGGGCAGAGCCACAGCTCTGTCCACTTTCTTAAATAACGGCGATGGTGGCCTGCTCCTTTGTTCCTTGGGACTTTGTCCCTTGGCTCCGGGAATTTAGCTGGGACAGACTCACCGAGGTGCAGTTTGGCCACCAGGCTCGTAAATAATTTCTCAACCATACTCATGGAGACATCTGATTTCCAACTACATAACTTCCAGGCGAATAGCAGAAATGATAATGCTTGCCACACCTGGCTAAACAATTACATTTGATGCTTAATATGGGGGTTTTGATATAAACTAACTAAATGCTGGAGCAAGGGGCTGGGGATTTAGCTCAGCGGCAAAAGCGCCTGCCTGGCAAGCGCAAGGTCGTGAGTTTGGTTCCCAGTACCGGAGAAAAAGAAAAAAAAAAAAAAAAAATGCTGGAGCAAGTCATTTGAAATCATCGGCCTTAATCTCTTCCTTGCGATGGTGAATCTGTGGTTGCATAAGGGTCCGTCCTCAGCAAACGGCAGTGAGCAGATGGCAGGCCCAGGTCCAGGAGACTCTGGGTGTGAGTTCAGCTTCAGGACGTGCAGCTGGGCAGCCTCAGGCGCTGTCCTCAGTGCTCTGATCCCCTTCCAATCTGTCCACAGACTTGGCGATGCTTTTATTAAAAGATCATTTGGAGGATATAGGGATGGGTCGGATTTCCTACTTTCCTGCTCTCCACGGTGGGAGACAGAGAGGAATATCTAGCTTTGTGAAAAGTTTATTGAGTCATTGAGTTTCAATACCAAGAGGCCATCTAAAAATTGTGGATATTCTTTGTTTATCCTCCTTTCAGAACATGTGTCCTAAGTAAATAGTCAAGGATGACTGAATGGATTTAGCCACAAGGGTGAAAGATTAGAGACAAATTACATTGTCTAGGAAGAAGTATTTACCGAGTATGTAATTGTTGTAATTATGGAATATTACTTAGTCATAAAATGCTCTTACAAATTGATATCTAAAGCCAAGGGATGTGTTTACAATCTACTGTTAGGTGAAAGAATAAACATAAGCCACAAGATAGCACCTACTGCATGTGGCTTGGGATCTGGGAAGGGTCGTACACAGAGCAATAAGGCACCATCTGTCTCCAGTGGTTCCTGACAGAGCTCTCATCTGCACGAAAACCAGAGTAACATTGGTCAAAAAAGGACAGGCCACAGCTAATCCTCAGCCTTACAAAAAGTGCTGCCCCTGACACAGCCTCAGGCATCTTTAAAACACCACCACAGAGCCTGCTGTCTAAAACTGAGAGATGAAGGAGAAGGATGATTCTTGAAAACTGGGTAGAGAACACTAAAATCCATCCATCCATCCATCCATTCATTCATCCACATAGCACTTACTGAGCTTCCATGTACTTGGGGACAATTTTAGGATCTGAACCAGCTCACAACTCATTTGATTTTAGTAGGAAGGGGAGATGGCAGGAAGAGTCCGCAAATAAGCCAGTGAGTGTCTAAGGTAAGGCAGAGGTGATGTGCGGAGTCCCTGTGGACAGATGCTGTCACAGATGGCCTCAGTAGGCACAGAGGCTGCTCCAGAGAAGGATTGGAGCTGGACTGGATATCAGAGTAGGCCCGCCTTGTTAAGATCTAGGGAGGAATCCAGCAGGCAGAGGGGTCGCCTAGCATCCAGGCTCTGGTAGAACCTGCCAGAGACATTTATGGGTATAATACTCAGGGTGCCCCAGAGAAATCGGAGGGAGAGGCAGAGCGGGCATTTTGCTTTCAGGAGTTGGCTCGGGCAGTGATGTAAGGGTGGGGCTGGAAAATCTGAAACAGTCAGAGCTGGAAACCCAGGGACGGGAGGATGGTGTAGCTCAAGTCTGAAGTCACAGAGAAGAATTATTCTTGGGGGAGCACTTAAGATCTTCAACTGATCAGATGAGGCCAGCCTCCTTTATTTAAAGTCTGTTGATTTAAAGCTTAGTCATATCTAAAAGCATAGGCCAGGCGAGGTGGTGCACACCTGCAATCTCACTGGGGAGGCGGAGGAAGGAGGATTGCCATGAGTTCAAGGCCAGCCTGCGCTATCTAGTGAGACCCTGTCTCTGAAAAGAAAGAAAGAAAAAAACCCCTTTCAAACCAACATCTAGATTGGTGCCTGGTTAAACATCTGGGTGCCACGGCTAGCCCAGGTGAGAAGTGACACAGCCACCCCACTGAGGGTGGGTCACAGCCAGGCAGTAACCACCGTTCACCCTGTACGCTGGTCTTGTCTTCCCAGGGGTGACCCGCCTGTCTGGTCCCAGCTGCCGAGGACCTGGGTCCTGGTCTTTGATGAATGGACCCTAGCCGGGTAGCAGCGGTCTCATGCCGGCCTCCCACGTGGGTGTCTTCTCAGGGACCTGGGACTCCTGGGTTCTCAGTCTGAGCACAGTGAGTAGTGTCTTTAAGACTTTGAGTGATGCCAGGGATCAGCCTATGCCCTCCTGAGGACTGCGCTGCACTGGCCTGGACTGCTGCTGGGGAGACAGACGTGCAGTCTCCTTGCATAGCAGCTCCATCTGGCAAGACCCTTGGGAATGAAGCAGGTGCCAGGTGGGCTCAGAGGCCCTGAGGGAAAAGGGCGTGAGGTAGCTGTGTGATCATCCGGGTCCAAGGTCCTCCACTGGGTGGATGGGGCTGCCGAGTGTTACAAGGCCAGCACCTGTGTCTGTCCCTGCTTTCCACATAGGAGTGATGACCTGGCTGGAGCTCTGTTCGCTTCCTCCCTGGAGTTTTCTGAGGCCCGTACACAGAATGGATGAGGCTCGCTCTGAACACAGGGGAGGGGACGTGGGGAAGGGACCAGGAGGAGGATGTTCAGTGGCCATCCTCAGGGAAAGCCCACTGAATTCTAACTCTGGCTGGGGCAGGGGAAGGCACTGTACTGACCGGAAGGTCAGGAAGGGTACCAAGAGAAACTCACTCATCCTCCTCCTTGTGCTGGAGCTTCACTTAGGGAGCCTGCTTTGGAGAACTTTTAGGGCTTCTTATCTATAAAACCTCTTCAAAGAACTCCATTTCCCGTGTTATTTCTGCTAGACGTTCCCACACAAAGCAAAGACCACACACAGGAAGCTGGATTCACCTTGTGGCAGATTAAATTCTCAGTGAAGAGCAGGCAGGGATAATATAATAAAACATCACCTGGTAATGATAAAGCCTTCTACCATATTCTGCAAATATGGCATGTAATTGTCTGTATTTCTGAGGAATCGCTGTTTCTTTAAGCCACTGATGATTTCGGAGCCCTGTCAAAGAAACAAGACCAACTCTGATTAAAGAGCTTATCTGAAAGGCTTTATAAACTATTTTACACGTATTAATAGTGATTCTATAAGCATGGAGGAGCTAGCTATATCCTTTCAAGTCCCTGGGTGAACTCGTTGCAGGCCTTGGGAAAGAACAAGGCAGAAAAACACAGACAGGATCCCTTATTTTGGAACTCTGAAACTACTTAACAGCAGAGTTGAGATGACAGAAGAAAAAATCAGTAAATTTGAACATAGGACTATTCATGTTTTTTGTTTTTTGTTTTTTGGGTTTTTTTTTGTCTTTTTGAGACAGGGTGTTGCCATGCAGTTCAGGCTGGCCTTGAGCTCACTTTGCAGCCCAGGCTGGTCTTGAGCTCACAACTATCCTCCTGCCTCAGCCTCCCGAGTGCTGGGATTACAGGTGTGCGCCACCATGCCCAGAGGATATTTTTAAATCTAGGGAACAGAGGGAAAAAGAAATGAAAGTGAATAGCGCCCAGAGAGCTGTGGAACATCACTATGTGGACCAAGAGGGGCATGGTGACAGTGCCTGGTGGAGGAAACAGAGAGAAAGGGACAGAGAACATTGGAGAAAATACAGTTTAAACCTTCCAAATTTGGGGCTGGGGATTTAGCTCAGCGGCACAGTGCCTGCCTGGCAAGCATGAGGTTGTGAGTTCGATTCCTGGTACCGAAGAAAGAACCCCCCCAAAAACACAAACAAAAAAAAAAACCCAGAACTTTCCAAATTTGATGAAAGGCATGAATCTCTACAAGAAGAAGCTCAAAAAACTCCAGATGGAACAAAGTTAACCACATGCACCTTGAAATATGTTATAATCAAACATAAAAGACACAGAAACCTGAAAACAGTGAGAAAGAAATGCTTTGTCATGTACAAAGGACTCTCAGTCAGATGGTCCTTTATTTTTTCAGCAGAAACCACAGAGGCTAGAAAACAATGGGATGACATATTTTAAGTGCTGGAAGAGAAATGAAATTAGCATATTTAAGGCACCAAAAGAAAAAAAACAAAAATAATTTTATTCCAGCAAAACTAACCTTCCAAAGGAACAAAAGAATATTAAGATATTCCCAAATAAACAAAACTTGAGAGAATCATTACCACTAGACTCTCTTTATTAAACAAAAACGCTAAAGGAAGTTCTGCAGGCTGGAGCAAAGGTCACTCAACAGACAAACTCAGTGCCATCAGAAGAAGCCAAGTTCCCCAAGTGGAGAAACAACATAGCTAAATGGAAAAGCCAGTATTGTTGTATTTTTACTAACTCCCTTTTAAAAACTTTCTACATGACTTAAAAGACAAATACATAAAAACAACTGTAAATCTATGTTCATGAGCACACAATGGGTAATGGTGTAATTATTGACAATAACACAAAGGGGCAGAGCCGCAGAGGAGCAGAGCGCGTTGGTTGTTATGGTTCCCATCTAGAAGGACCCTCCGCAGGTCTCAGGTATTCAGGGGCGGGGCTTTTGGAAGGTGACTGCACCGTGGGGGGTGGGGGCGTGGGTTAATCATCAGCTGATTAATCCACCGAGGAATTCAGAGCTGACTGTGCAGTTAGGAGGTGGGACCTGGTTAGAGGTGTCACTGGGGTGGACCGGAGGGGCATCTCTCTCGCTGCCCACTCCCTCCACTCTGCTTCCTGGCTGCCACAGGGTGAGCAGCTCTCCTCCGCCACATCCGTTTTCACTGGCCAACTTTGCCTTGGAGTCGGTTGGCCAGTGACTGGAAATGTGAGTGAAAATAAATCTCCTTTCAGTTGTGGGTGTTAGGTATTTTGTTCCCGTGAGAAGAAAGGGACTAAGACACAATTTAAACTAATCTGGTATCAAGTCAAACTTTTTTATATAAGTTGAAGATGTCACTTACAGTCTCCATGGAAACCAGAAAGGAAAAAAGGCAATCAAAACAGTGCAACAGACCAAGGAAGCACATAAGGCGGCAGTAGTGGTGGAAATGAACAACAAAATATAAGATAGAGGGGAAAAAAAGGGGAAATGGCGAAACACACCTTTTATTAAAAGTAATTAAATGTAAATGGGGCTGTTCTCTCCAATAAAGAGGAGAGACTGGCAGAACAGATTTAAACACACGACTCAGCTATATGCTGCTTACGAAAGGTTCACTTTAGGACTCAGACTGAAAACTTTAAATCATTGCTGAAAGAAACTGAATAAAAACTACATAACCAGAAAGACAGCTGAGGGTGAGGGCTGCTAACTGCAGCACCCTGGGAGCCTGAGGCAGGGGCGCAACAAGTTTGAGCTTCGCTTGGACAACCCAGCAACTGAGCAAGACCCTGACTTAAAATTTAAAAACAAGGGCTGGGAGTGTAGCTCAAAGTGAAGGTCCTAGGTTCAATCCCCAGTATTGAAAAAAAAATTAAAAAGACAATCCAATAATCCACGTTCATGAATTAGGAGGCTTCTTATTGTTAAGCCGACAGGGCTCGCCTTGGAGGCACAGATGCTAAAATTGTTAAGATGCCAATAAGAAGGTAAATAAGGCTTCAAAGTAATTCCAGTCAAAATTGCAACAACGTGACGCTCTCATAATAACAGACACATGGACCAGTAGGGTAGAATTAGAAGCCCAGGATTTATACAACTGTCGCCAGCTGAACTTTCGGCAAGGGTGTCAAGATTATTTGAAGGCTCCAGTGCAGAAAATCATCTTTCGAGCAAACAGTACTGGGACAACTGGACTTCCAGATGCAGAACCAGAACAAGTAAGTTGAGCGCTTAACTCGCACCAGGTACAAAAGCAAACTGAAAATAGGTCAGTGACCTAAGAACAGTTCTTATGAGACCATAAGACTATCAGCAGAAAATGGTGTAAGTCTTCAGGTTTTGTCACGGATTCCTTCACGGAACATTATTGAAATGACAAACTTCTGTGTATCAAAGGATGTTAAGAGAAAAAGGAAGAACAATGTACAGAATGAAACAAAATATTTTCAAATCCTATGTCTGAGAAGCCTCTTACAACTTAACAGCAAAAGAAAAAACCACACAATCAGAAAATGAACAAGAGACAAATAGTAGCTATTTCCCCTAGGAACGGGTACAGAGGGACAATAAACCTGTGAAACAGTGTCTGGTACCGTGAGTGTCCAAGGACAGCAAGTCAAACCCACAGAGAGGTGGGGAAACTGCTGATGGGAATGTACAGTAGTGCAGCCACTGGGGAGACCAGTTTGGCCATTCCTTCCTGAAACTCCATTACTACATCTGTACTAAGAGGAAGCCAAGCGGCAGGAATTCAAACAAACGCTCGTGCACAAGCCCTTAGCATTGCTCTCCACAAAAACCAAAAGGTGGGAGTGACCCAAGTGTCCATCAGTGGATAAATACAGAAACAAAATCCAGTATGTGCACACATTAGAATATTCTTCAGTCAAGAGATGAATGAATGATACACCGTACAACACAGATCAACCTTCAAAACACAGAGCTACTCAAAGCCAGCCGGACAAGGACGGTCTCCAGTGGGTACGTGCAAAGAGACAGGGCACCGACTGGCGGTTGCCAGGGTCTGCGGAGAGTGCAAGCAGGAAGCAAGTGCCTGCCGGGTACAAGGTGCTTCCTTTGGGGGCGATGGAAACTATTTTGGAGCTCTAGAGAGGAAATGGTTATGTGGCGCTGTGAGCACACGACAGGCTACTGATTTGTGGGCCTGTGCAAGGTTCATTTCCTATTGTGTGAATTTCAACTTGGTGAAGAACAAAAGTATCAGTGTCCTGCTTCCTTCCCTCCACTGAAAGCGTGTTTTATGCCTCCCGTGGTGTCTACAATGGATCGGGCACGTTTGTTGCCAGCTCAAAATTAAGAAAGATAAAGACACAGTTTGTATCCCGTGTAATGACACAAAGGTATAACTCCTTACAGATTTTCATTCGTGCATTTGTGAACTACGATGAGCACGTTCACCATGGGGAGCTGGTAACGCACACACTACGTCTTAGTTCTTTCTACTTCCCACCTCCTCCCGGGCTCTCCTCTCTTTCCGTCCCTAGATAGCCTTCCCCTCTGAAAATGTCTCCCGTCCTGTTTCCTATCGTCTCTTCCACTTTGCTCCTTACGTTAGTGAATCCTACAAGATGACACCAGGGATCAGGGAAGGATCCCCCAGGGCCCAGGAGTAGTGGCTTGGTCCCCAGTCTGGCACTACTGCAAGGCCTTGGACCCTCGAGCAGGGGTTGCCTAGCTGGAGGAAGTTAGATCACTTGGGGTGCACCGTGGAATGGGGCCCAGGCTCTTCTTGTCTCTCTTTCTGCCATCCTCAGCCACATGCTCCACCATGAGATACTGTCACAGGCTGCAAATCGATGGACCAGTGACTGTGAACTGAAACTTCTTAACCTGGGTTAGCTGACAATCTCACGTAGTTTGTCACAGTAATGTAAAGCTGACTAACACAGATGCCAGAATGAGAAACACCTTGAACACAAGTAGTTCTGAGGCCTATGCTATGTGCCCTGGCCCAGGCCCTGGGGTGGACACTAGGAAGGGCAGGCTAGCCTCACTACACACTGGCCTAGGGCACTGCAGTGAGAATGTTTTGGCCGCGTGGAGGGCCAGAGTCCTGGCAGCAGCAAGGTGGGAAAGGCCAGCTAGATGTACCAACCCCCAGGTCAACAGAGATGAAGAAACCATAGCCAGGAAATGTGGAGGACCATCTGGACAACGCTTCTTGAAAGAAGAGCAGTTGTCTCCATTTTGGCTAACCCTGGCCCTATTTCCATGTACTGATGTGTGCAGAGCTGGCTGGGACTTTTCCTTATCCCCCAGTTGGCTTTAAGCAATGCAAATAGGACCAGCTGAGGTGCTGATGTGTAGTCTTTGAAGCAAGGCGACAGGGCAGTGTTTCCCTACTCCGCTAGCTCCCAAATAAGATGTGAGCTGGGCGGGATGGAGGGCCAGGCTCCATGCTGGTGTTGGCTGGTGTTGAACACTGTGATAAGAGGTGATGACTTCCCAGGGCTTAAAAGATTCACATCAGAGCTGAAGCACTGACCCCAAAACAACACAAACTACCTCAGCTGTGTTATACAGATCACACTTTCTGCATCTCTCTCTCTCTGCATATGGCAGAGGTGATTTCAGGCTTCCTACCTAGCCCAGACCATAGCACTCAGCTAATTCTCACCATTCTCGCAGTCTCTCTTCCTCAAGCCACTCCCTTCTTCATGAATTAATAAAACCCAGGTTCGGCCCTGAATCGAGGCTTTTGTTCTGGATGGCCATCATCGTAGCTGGACTTAGGACCCCTTGGGTCCCTATAACTATAAATATGCCTTATGTCTTTATTCTCGCCGTGGGTTGCACTGGGAGTGGTAGACTGCAATTAACTCACTAGAATTCCATCATTTTTCCATGGGATCACAAGTAGAAACTTCCTGGGCTGTGAGGAGGTCTGGAAAGGGCTCTCTATAAGGAAACAGAACAAGTCAAGAGGCGCATGGCTCTTGCTAGAAACCAGAGCACTCAGGGTGTGCTCCAGAGGGTGCTGCGCCGGGACGGGTGTTCCAGCAGCCCTGACCAGGAACCGGCACAGGGTCGGGCTGGGGCAGCTGTGCAGTAGGGGCTGTGGGTGCAGTCATGGAGAAGCGGCTCCCGAACGCTGCCATCGTGTAAGATACCACATCAGGACAGCAGCCAGATGGGAACCTTGGTTGTCATGGGAACTCTGCGCCTCAAAGTAACAACATTTTCAAGAGACATTTCCCCCCTACAGGGGTCGTGATGTGTGATCCTGGCCCAGTCAGAGAGGAGGAGCTTCACGTGGAGGAGTAACTTCTCTGGGACCCAAGTCATTGGCAAGAGTTTTGTGGTCAAAATCTTGCAAGAGGAGTTACCCAAATTTAGAAAAGGTAAAATGTAAGATGGGTTTACAATACGTATATTAAGGATTCTTAACTTTAAATCAAGTTCTGTGGTTTTTAAAATACAATTCTAAGAGGAAAAAAAAGCACTTTCTAAATTTTTTGATAAAGATCTTGCATTACCTTTATAGTTTGAGACAAAGACAAATGAATTTTTTAAAAAAAACCCTCAAAAACATGTCACTTACTCTGCTATTTTCTGTGGCACTTATTTAACAAATATGAACCCTGCTACTGAGCTCCTCCACACCATGCAAAAATATCCTGTGAAGCAGCTTTGAGAAGCATTACTGGTCAGACTTACCAACGAGAAGAAAAGTCAGTATAAATATTATACTTAGGATGATCTTCCACAGCCGAGTTAACCTAAAAAGAATAAAGACAATAAAAAAGTCTCTAACCAAGTAATCCATTACTGTTCACCTTTAACTTGGGCTTTATGCCACCCGCTACACCCAGGCCAACAGGCCTATTGATTCTTGTTTTTTATTGCAGGGCAAGAGATCCCGATTTTATTTTTTATTTTTATTTTTACTAGTCCATGTTGGCGATACATAATGGAGCCCTCATGCTTCAGAAAATGGCATGAACAATAATAGAATAAGTGTGTTCAAAGCAAGGGGAGTATTTTGAGGAGGGTTAATAGCAGTGTGCCTTTTCCTGAAATAAATTCTTGAATTTAAACATGCACCATATTTTTGAATCACCCTGTGTTCCTCCAGGGAAGTGTGCCCTTGAACTCACCACCTTTTAAATATAATTGAGCAGTTGGGGGTGGCGGAAGGTAAGTTATTCTAAGGTTAGTTACAGCTCCCTTGCGGGGGCGCATTAAGTGAAAATTATCATATTTACCAAACATTAAGTTTTTTTTTTTTTTAAACCTTCAAATCCTAGCTGCCAGGCTCTGCTTTGCAAACCAGAACTCATTCTATGCCTTCATGGAGCCTGTGGGTTTTGCCGTTGAAGGTGGTCATGCTTTACTACTACTGACTGTGATTTTCAAATGCTGCTCTTATGGCGGGGGGTGGGGGGACTCTACAGTAATCCTCTAATTTTTTTTTTTTTTGACAGTTTTGTTTCTGGGAAAATGTTTCCTTGTCGTTCCCTGGATGGCTGCCTCATTATTCTCAGAGTTTATTCTCCTAGCAGGCAGCATATTTGGACCGTCCAAGAGGACAGAGCTTGCCTGCCATCTCGGTCCAGGTGATAGGTAGTATGCTCTTCCTAGAGGAAGTGCAGTTGTCCACTTAAACGTGTGTCCACTCTCAGGCTGTGGGCCCACTGTCACCCAAGGGTGTCCCAGATGCCACTCTGTATCTGGAGTCCTAAGGCCACCCCTGAGCTCGGCAGGCACCGACCCTGGACAGCCAGCCCTCTGGTGGGGAAGTGAGTCATCCGTGGGGTGCGGCTCCTCTTTGACTGCTCTTGTCCCACCCACTGTGAGGAATTCACTACTACTGGCACAGCCAGTCAGGATTCGACGGGAAGCACCGCGCAGGAAAACACCGCTTGGTTGGTTTCCAGATACACAGGGCCTGATGACGCATAGTACGGTCAATACGAGACCTCACAGAAACCGGTCCACAGAGTCACGTACCCATTTGCGTCAGCGTTCTGATGTTCCGGTAGCAAGATAGGGATGCTGGCGCTGCTGGCACTGCTGCTGGGATCTTCAGAGTGACCTGGGAAGGAACGTGCAGCCCGCCTCAGCTTCCCTTTCCCACTCATCGCCCCCACTGGGCAGCAAGAGCTCATGGAAGGCCGGACGCCATCCCCTCTGCCCTTCCTCGTTTATGGGGAACTCGGAGCTGTGTATACTGGTTTGTTTTCCGCCGCCTTACTTCACGGGTGTTCTCTTTCAAGGGGGAGCTCTGAGTGAGCACATTCTGAAGAGGCGGGGCTCCTTTATTAGGTCGCCTTCTGTGACATCTCATAATGCGGGCTGCCACCACACCCGTGCAGGGCTGCCACACTTGCCCCTCTGCCCCAAGGCTGTGCAGCTGGTTTGCTGGCTTAAACCTGCTGCGTGCTGTACAGGCCCCTGCACTATGGCACAGCTGGATGTTTTGAAAAATATATAAAATATCAGAAATAGATGAGATAAACAGTGGAAGAAACCAAGATATTCCCCATTCTCACACTGTTCTCCCCGCCGCTGCAAAGAACAGCTACCAGAAAATTGAAATACTCCAGCCATTCCTATGTATTTTTAACACATCTATTCCATAAATAATACATCTTTCATGTTTTAAAATTGGAATAGGTGACACGGTACTCTTGCTTTTCCCCAACAATATCTTTTTGTCTGTTTTTTTGAGGCACTGGGGACTGAACCCAGGGCTCTTGTACCGAGCTACATCCCCAGCCCTTTTTCACTTTTTCTTCTGAGACAGGGTCTTGCTAAGCTGGTAAATTGCCTGGGATGGGCTCAAACTGGTTCCTCCTGCCTCAGCCGCTCAGAGGGCTAGGATTACAGGTGTGTGTTGTCACGCCCAGCTAACAATATCCACCTTGAGGTAAATTAACCCAGTTTGCTAATTTTACCTGCCCCTTAGTATTTTACTACACATGCATCGTAATTCATTTGCCCGTTTTCCCATAGATGTGTACTTGGGCTATTTTTCAGCAATACCAATTGTGCTCTGTGCTCGCTCTTGTATGGACATCACAGGTTTTTCTAGGTGTGCAACTAGGGATGGGATTTCTGGGTGGAAGAAGGAGCTACTTTGTTGGGGGAATGCGGTTCTGGAGGGATAGTTATTTTGCTTTCAGCACTTACTGACATCTCACTTGTACCTATTTTAAAATATGAAATTTTGGAGTGACACCAGCAGGATGGCAGAGGAGGAGTACCTTGTTCATGTTCATGTTCCCCTAGTAACCCCCAATAACCCCGTAGACACCACGGGGAGAGTACCTCTGTGGGGGACTTGGGGTCCAGGTGACAGGCTATGAAACCCCAGTGGAGCCCCAGGCTGAGCAGGGCCGTTCTGAGAGGCCAGGCCCAGGCCAGCTGGGAGGATCTCTTGCCATGATCCCACCTAAAGACCCAGAAAAAGCCCTTCCTCCATGGACTTGCAGCACGCCCTTGGTCCTAGTACTGTACCTGAGCAATCTGCCTGGCAGGAGTCCTGCCCACTGTGCCTCGGGTTCCAGGCCTAGTGAGCACAGTCCCCCGTGTAAACACTACAGTGGCCTATGCCCTGGCCATAGCCGCTCCCAGCCACAGTCTGGGAATGTTCCCACAGGGACCGCGGCAGGGATGCCAGTCATCCACCTGCAGTCCCCAGGCATTTCTGCATCCCGGCTCTGGACTCCTCAGCCATGATCTGGGAGCCATCGAGGTCATCAAAACGTCCAGAGAGAGACATGGCCATCCATGTCCCAGAGGCAGGGTCAGTGACCTTGGACCCATGGAAGACACTGACACAGGCCTGTGACTCTGCTCCAGCCCCTCTCAGCTGAGGTGTGACAGCAACCACATCCACCCAGGGACTCACTGGGGGATAAACCCCTCTGTACACCCAGAGGGCCGCTTGCTGTCCTCAGTGTCAGCCTCGGGGCCTAAAGCAGTTCTGTGACTTGGCTTCAGTCCTCTCAGGCATGGCTCAGGGACAGCCCTGCCTGCTTAGGGACCTGCCCAGTGAACCGGCGTAATTCCTCCCTCCCAGACACCCAGAAGGGTCACATCCACCTACGCACCTAGTAAGCCTGACATCTGCAGGCTGGACTGTGGACCTTAAAGTGGATCCTTGTCCCAGAGCCAACCCTATTTACCATGGTCCAGAGGCATTCTGCTCTGCCTCGGAGCCAGGCACACCTGAGCCCCTCATAACAGGTCTGACAACCGAAGACACACTAACACTCATCTTATTTGACTCCAACCTGCTCAGCTGCAATATGTATACATTTCTCCCAGGCTGGGGGCCCAGCAGTATAAGATCCTGGCCTGCTGAAATCAGCCTGAAAAGGCTGGAGAAGGGGCTTGCTATTTTCAAGATACAGATAACTATTCAACTCTACATGGATCATAAAGAATCAAGCAAGCATGACACCATCAAAAGAAACTAATAACGTCCCTGTAACTGGCCTCAAAGAAATAGAGATCTACAACTTTGCTAATGAAGAATTCAAAATAGTAATTTTAAGGAAGCTCAATGAAATGTAAGAGGACACATACAGATAATTACGCAAAATCAGGAAAGTGATGCATGAGCAAAGGAAGTTTAAAAGTAGATACGAATAAAAAAGAAGCGATCAAAAATCCTGGGGCAAAAGAACACAATGATAGGCTGACACACTCCGTAGATGGACTCAGTGATGCAGAAGAAACAGTGAACTGAAAATCAGGTCATTGGAGATGAGTCATGTAGCAGCAGGGGATGAAAAAGAGTGATGAAAGAGTTCAGGACCGAAGGGACACCACAGTGCATGAAGACACGCATTATCGGAGTTGCAGAGGAGAAGAGAGTAAGGTGAGGAACCACGAAAGAAAAAAATCCCACCTTGGAAGTGATACAAACATCTAGATTCATGAAACTGAAATATTGCCAAGTGAGATCAACCCAAAGGCAATTACTCAGAGACACATCACAGTCAAATGATCAAAAGTCAGAGATAAAGAGGCAATTGTGAAAGAACCAAGTTACTTGTCACATATGAGGGACCACCATGAAAATCATAGCAGATTTCTCAGGAGAAGCCTTGCAGATTTGGATAAAATGAGATAATATACTCTAAGTAGCAAAAGAAAAAGCATTTGAACAAAACAAAACTGTCACATAACAATACTGCCTGGAAAAGCTGTCCTTCAGAAAAAGATGAGATAAACACATTCTTTGACAAATAAAAGCTGAAGATGTCATCACCATCAGGATGTCTTGTAAGACTTGTTTTACAGGAACTCAACAGGGAGAATTCAAGTTAACATAAAAGGTAGCTAAGTTACAACATGAAAATGTAAAGCTAACACGTAAATGTAAAAGGTAAATGCATAGTCAAATTCAGAGTACAGTAATTGTAAACATGGTGGTAAGCCACTTTTAACTATAGTATACAAATTAGAAGATAAAAAAGCTAAAATGATAGTGACAACAATTCACTAATGTATACATGATACGAAAAGATATAAAGTGTGACATTAATGTAGAAAGATGTGAGGAAGAAAGGTGAAAGTATTTTTGTATGTAACAGAAAGGAAATAACAAAGACCAAATGGGAATAAATGCAATAGAGACTAGGGAAAAATGGGAAATATAAAAAAACTAAGATTTTTTTAGAGATATAATTGACAGATTTTAGTAGTCTAAGAAAAAAAAGAAAAACTCAAATAAATCAGAAATTTAAAAGGAAATATTATGGTTATTACAAAAATGCAAGATCTAAACAGACTACTATGAGTAATTCTATGCCAAAAAATTGGATGGATAATCAAGAAGAAATTGATAAATGCTTAAAAATATACAACTGAATAATACAGAAATAGGAAATCAAAACAAGTCAATATTGACTGAGGACACTGAATCAGTAATAAAAAATCTCTCATGACAAAAAGTCCAAGATCTGATGCCTTCCATGATGAATTCTGCTAACCATGTAAAGAACAATTCCAGTTCTTCTGAAATTCTTCCAAAATATTGCAGAAGGAACATTTCCAAACTCATTTTGTAAGGCCAGTATTACCTCTTGTCAAAGTTAGATAAGGATACAACAAGAAAAGAAAATTTCAGACCAATATAACAGATGAACAGAAAAGCAAAAATTCTCAACAAAATACTAGTCAAAAATTCAGTATCACATTAAAAGGACCACATACCATGATCAAGTGGGATTTGTCCCTGGGATGCAAGATGGTTCAGTATATACAAATCAATAAATGGGTACACCACAGCAACAGAAAGACAAAAAACATGATCAGCTCAATAGACTCAGAAAAAGCATTGGACAGAATTCCACACACTTTCATGATAAAAACTTCCAGCAAGTTAGAAACAAAAGGAATGCACCTTAATTGGTACTGTACTCAGTGGTGAAAAACTGGAACCCTTTCTTCTATTTGGAAGAAAACAAGGGTTCCCACTCTCCCTCCTTCTACTCAACCTAACACTAGAACCTTTAGCCAGAGCAATTAGACAAGAAATATAAATAAAAGTAATTCAAATTGGAAAGGAAGTCAATTGTCTCTGGTAACAACATGATCTTATATATAGAAAACTTTTTTCTGTCTTTCTGAGACACGGTCTCACTGTGCAGTTCCGGCTGGTCTTGCGCTCACTTTGTAGCCCAGGTTGGTCTTGAAATCGCAAGGATCCTCCTGCCTCAGCCTCCCGAGTGCTGGGATTACAGGCATGTGCCACCATGCCCGGTGTAGAAAAGTTTAAATACTTCACCAAAACAACTGTAAAATAATTTAGTGAAGTTTTTGTACACAAAATTAACAGACACACATAGGTAGTATTCTCATACTAATATCTAAAGACGAAGTTAAGAAAATAATTTTATTTTGGGTTTTTTTTTTTTTTTTTTTTTTTTAGACAGGGTTTTGCTATATAGTTCAGGTTGGTCTTGGGCTCATTATGTTGCCCACACTAGCCTCAAACTCACAGCAATCCTCCTGTCTCAGCCTCCCAAGTGCTGGATCACAGGCATGAGCCATCACAGCTGGCTTAATAATTCTGTTTTCAGCAGTATCAAAAAATTAAAATATTCATGTATCAGTCAACTTTCCATTATTATAACAAAATACCTAAGATAATAACTTGAAAAGTGGAATGGTTTATTTGGTTCATTGTTGCAGAGGTGTCAGTTCGTGGTTAGGTTCGTGGTTGATGCTTTTGAGCCTGTGGCACCACAGATCATCACAGTGAGGGGTGCATGGTAGAACAAGCTGCTTACCACACTGTGACGGGAAAGCAGAAAGAGAAAACACCAGCATCCCACAGTACTTCAGGTCACGCCCCAGTGATATAGTACCTTCCACTAGACCGCGTCTCTTAAAGGTTCTACCACCTTGCATACACGAGGACTAAGCCTTTAACACACGGCCATTGGAAGACATTCTAGGCCCAAACTCTAGGAGACCTGGAACAAATTTAACTAGAGAAGTGAAAGACCTGCATAAGGAAAACATAAGACACTGATAAAAGAAACCAAAGAAGGTGCAAGTAGTTGGGAAGACCGTGTTCACTCACGGGAAGAATTAATATTGTTGAAATGTCCGTACTGCTCAAAGCAATCCACAGATTGAGTATTTTCCATACCAATGTCAGTGCCATTTTCCTCAGCAATAGAAAAACCCTAAAATTCACATGAAACCACAAGAGACTCCAGATAGCCCGACAGCTTTACAAATCTGCTAGGCATTTCTTAATCTAGTGAAGGTGACACATCAGGATTAATGGTTATAACTTATTTTAAAAATAGGCTAAAATCCTGCATAGCCAAACAGTCTTAAAAAGAGGGAGCAAACCTGGAGGCACCACAATGCATGACTTGGAAGGGTACTGCAGGATTGGGGTGAGGCTCAGGGGCAGGGCCTTGCCTAGCATGTGCAAGTCCCTGAGTTGATCTCCTGAATTGTGAAAGAAAAAATCCAAAAGTCCAAATAACTTCAGTACTACTATAGTCAGCTTTCTTAACTTTAGACACAGATACCCACAACTTGAAGGAAGAGAAGTTTAATTTGCTTCATAGTTTCAAGGAATTCAGTCCATGGTGCACTGGCTTCAAGTCAGCAACATCACGGTGGAAGTGTGTGCTGCAGCAAAGCTGCTCAGTTTTGGGAAGCAGACCAGGAGAACACTGCCAGAGAGGAAGGGGCGAGGGACCTGACACAGACCCCAGGGCCATGGTTCCACGACCCACCCAGACACAACCAGCAGCGTGCTTTACTAACCTGCTAGATGTTTCTTAATCCAGTGAAGTTGGATTCAGTATGAAGCGGTGGCTTCAGAGCTCGGGTCGAGGGTTGTCTGAGGACATGTAAAGGATGTGAACCTGCTGTTTAGCGCAGGCGCAGATTGGTGTATATTTATATAACCATGACTTAGCTATAGCAAACCGCGCATGCGCTGGTTAGCCCCAGCAGACAAGAATGTAAATAGGTGATAACAGCATATATAACAATAAACGATCAGATGAGCTGCTCTTTCTTTCTCCTGCCTGCCTTTTGTACTGATGTCTGCCTCACGTGCATTCTTTTCCCTGGGGATCTCACCTGCAAAATTACCTCTACGGGCCCCTCTCCTCCACAACATATCAGGGTTAAGGGTCACAATTTATTTAAAAAATAGGCTACAATCCTGCATAGACATTTTCCCAAAGAAGAAAGACAGATGGCCAGCAGTCATCTGAAAATAGGCTCAACATCACCAACCGTCAGGGAAATGCAAACAGAAACTACAAGTACGCGCACCACTTCATACCCACTAGGACGCCATTGAAAGCGCAAGAATGGACAGGTGCTGGCAAAGACGTCGGAGAGAAAGGCAACCTTGCGCACTGATGGTGAAAATGTAAACTGATACAATCTTGTAAAAAAACAGTATGAAATTTCCTCCAAAAGTGAAAAGTAGAACTATTATATGATCCAGTAATCCCGTATCTAGATACATACCCGAAGGAAATAAAGTCATATGTCAAACAGACACCAGCACGACTCTGTTCGCTGAAGCACTGTTGTAAAGGCCAAGATGTGGAATCAAACGAGGTGCCCATCGATGGTTGAATGGGTATAGAAAATGAAATTTACACACACACACACACACACACACACACACGCACATCCACCCATCCCTAAAAAAGTAGCAGATCGTATCATTTCTGACAACAGAATGAACCTGGTGAACAATTTTCTGAGTTAAATGAACCAGACACAGATATTACTGTGCGAGCTCACTTATATGTAGAACTTAAAATGCTCAAATACATAGAATTGGAGAGTGGAGCGGAGGCTGCCAGCGGAGGAGGGGCAGGTGAAAGTGAGAAAGGGGAGGCAGTTGTCAAATGGTCCAAGGTTGTGGTTACAAACGGATAGATTCTGAGGAACCACTGCCCAGCACGGTGACTGCAGAGGACAGCGCTGCGTGGTATACTAGCAACGTCCTGAGAGGGAGATCTTTCGTGTTCCACCACACAGGCTGAAGAAGACAGTTACGTGCGGAGGTGGACATGTTCACTAGCTTGACTGCAGCAAGCACTTCACACTGTATGTGTATACTGAATTATTACATCGTACAACTCAAATATGTAAACTTTCTAGTATCACTTATACTTGATTAAAGTTGGAAAGAGTTAAAATAGGCCATTCTTCTTGTTAAGAAATTCTACCAAAGAGAAAGGGCCAAAGGGCCAAAGGGCTCTGTGCCTCTAACACAGGACTCCGTAGGGTCTGGTGCTTACAGTGACTTAAAGAGGTCTCGCCTACCCTAGCGCTCACAGAGATGAGGGTTCTTGTTCTTCTGACTCGGTGGACAACTCAAACTGCCCCATGACATGGAAGTACATAAATACACGTCCACCTGGAGAGGCTATCTTTACATTGCTTAAATTATCACCAAAAAGGAAATACACAATTTAAAACTCCCTATAGCTTGTGAAAAACTGATGTTACCACATGCTGCATAATCTAGAGAGAGACAGAGGCCACAGGGTGAGGGGCGGGCAGGAGAATGGACCAGGGTCTTTCAACTGCTTAGGATGAGGAAGGACGGGCGGCAGGAGAGAGATGGAAAAGCGCCAAATAAAGACACCTCCCAGGAGTGCGAATAAACCAGCTGCAGTCAACAACATGGGAAAACAAGAGGCCAGCAGGGAAGGGCTGAGATTGAAAAACTGGATTAGTACTTAGATACCTTTTTCCCTTTCTCAAAATGCTCATAAACAGGAGATATCTACATATATCTAGGAATATAGATGCATAAAATTCCCTTGAAGTGAGATTATGTGTGAGATGACGTTCCATCCTTTTAAATTCTGAGGGCCAGGAAAAGTTCAGGAAACAAAGGCATGGAGGTACGCTCATTACAAATAGATCGTTCTTGTGTTATGTCTTCATTTGATTTGCCATGTACAGGCATCTGGGATTTCAATGACACTCCAAAGCAAACCTTCCTCCTGAGCAATGATCATTCTTCACAACCATTTCAGCTACAATAAAAACTCCACGCTTTCATTAACCCAACTGAGAGCTGCAGATATTCTCAGGTCATGATAGCTGCAGGTACTGTGATCAGTTTGGTTTTTCTTTCCCCCGGTACCGGGAATCAAACTCACGACCTTGAGCTTGCCAGGCAGGCGCTGTGCCGCTGAGCTAAATCCCCAGCGTCCTGTAATCAGTTGTTTTAATGAATAAGCTCTGTTGGTCCTACAGCCCCCTGACTGAAGTTGTGACTTACACAAGCGGCAGCACTTGTTACGCCTGGTGATAACCGAAGAGCCTCTATATATAGTGAACAAACATGTCAGTGAGGTATGAAGTCTTGATTAACTACAGGACCGGCTGGCTGGAGATTCTGCACATTCATCACAGTACTATTAGAGCTGGATAAATCAACTAGCTAAGGCTTGTCCCAAGCACACAAGATTTCTTCTCTTTACCCAGTTCCCGTGCTCCCTGGCTTCTCCTAGATGTGTAAAGCTGTACTGCTGTAACAGAGGCAGCACCTTCTTTAGCTCAATGTGCTACACAGCCACCAAGCCAAAAGTCTGGATTTAAAAAATAATTAAAGGTGGATGTGGCGGTGCACGCCTGTAATCCCAGCCCTCGGGAGGCTAAGGCAGAAGGATCACTGTGAATTTGAGGCCAACTTGTGCTACATGATAAGACCCTTTCTCAAGAAGAAAAAGTTTTTTCAACAAGAGAAAAGTCAAAGCTATTTACAGATGCCCCTGCTGGTGGAACAGCAGGCTCTTTTCAGATTCTAGCAGCTGGTTGATCCTTGTCTAACTTTACATAGGGGTCAACCATGGGTACTTATCTCCACTACTTGGACAATGTCACGTGACACTGTCTGGGTGAGCAGTGTCTCCTACTGACCCGTGCCAAAGCTGTGTCCTTGCTTTGGATTCACCACGGTTGGGCCAAATAATTTCTATTCTTCTGAAGCAGCGCAATTTATATTATCCTCCCCGTCGCCGTCTCTCTCTCCCCCCCGCTCTCACTGTCTTTCTGTCTCCGTTTCTCTCTGTCTTTCCAGTTCTCAAATTTAGCGAGGCCAAACACCCCTCATTTAGGCTAAGGGTTTGGAACTCTAAACCCTATATGGTAGAAGTATGGCTAAGAGCTTTATAAAAGGGCCTCTCAAGCCACAAAACAGAAATACTCCTCAAAACCAAGATACAGGAAACGTTTACATGGCAATTCTACTATTAGTATACAGTTGGCAGAAATGTCTATTTGCTGAATTTTACCAAGTACTTACTCTCTTTTCAATGCAGTAAATAATCGAGAGATTTAGAGTCCAATTTCTTTCTAAAATTAAGCATCCTTTTGTTACGTGAAACTCCTGCATTTGCTTAGATTATATTTTTATCTACTGGTGCTGTTTCTTAGAAGTGAGACGCTCACCCCTGCTTGGAGAACTTGAGGGTGAATAGTCCTAATTTTCCCGGTTTCTCGTGGTGGGGGCGCGGCTTCACACCAGGCGTGGCCCCGCCCACTGTGTCCTCTAGCCCCTGGCTCTGGGCGGTTGACAGGGGGCGCCTGCGTTCTTCCCTGGCTCTGATTGGTCCACCGGCACTCCAGCGGTCGATCCTATTGGCTGCCTACACTCTCGCCGCCCTTGCTTATTGGCTGTCCGGCCGTTACCGTGGCGACGCGGGTTGTTGTGGTTCCGCCTCGCTCCGGGAGCTGCGGGTTGGCCCCCGATTGCCAGCCCGCGCCATACAAACGTGAGCCACCGAGACCCCTGGCGAGCGGGTGAGCCGGGCGGCAGGGACCGTCCTGTCCTGCGGCGCTTGATCGCCGGCTGCAGACCCCGTCTACGCGTGCTGTGGGCGTGCCAGCCGCAGGCCCGGGCCGCGTCTCCCCGCGGCGCGCAGTCATGAGGAACACCAACAAGGAAGCGCCGGGCGCCGGGCACCGCTACGCCCCCTGCGGTGAGCGGGGCCGGGGCGCGGGCGGTGGGAAGTGCACACGGGGCCCTTTGACTTTTTCTTGGCGGTAGTTCAACTATTAACCCTCCTGCTGTTTTCCTGCATGTTAATTAAGGGCCTTTCTTTCCGGGCGGCACCCCAAGGTGTTTCATTGACTCCCCGTTTAGACCGCCGCCGAGTCAAGTCTGTTTCCTGCTCTAGGGGGCTGGATGGATGCGGGAACGGAGAACGCGGGGGCGGGGGGGGGGCGGTGTCGCGGTTTTTTACGCACCAGGGTTGGAAGCTGAGGAGGGGAGGGAGAAGTCGTGAGACTCTGCCTTGGTGTTCTCCTCTCTGCGTCTTGCGATGGGCTGGAGACGGGTAGCGAGGAGCCCGGGCGCTGCGTGGTGGGGCCCAGGTGAAGCCCTGTACGGCTGCACAGGACAGGAGCGAAACGTGGCCCTTCCACATTCCCACGCGCACTTCTAGTCCCTGGCTCTGACTGTGACCGCTGCTGGTGACAGGGCAGCTTCCTGGGGACCTGAGGGGTGCAGAATGAAGGGAAGGACCCCAGGACGCCTTAGGAAGTGGCCTCGGGTGCATGCGCACCGCTCATAGATCTGACAAGCCCCGGGGACCCGGCCCTGCCTATGCGCTGACAGTGAGACCCTACCAACCCTCCCGGGCACCAGCACCCCGCTGGACGGACCAGGAAGCGGAGGCGTGTGGAGCTCGGAGTAAGTTGTCCGAGCCCACACGGGCCCCGGGTAGCTCACAGCCCTCAATATTAACGGTGAGCTGGGGCGCTAACGACCGGGGCCTGTGTCCCGTGGGCTTGCGCGTGTATGCAATGGGGCCTGTGGTTCAAGAGCAGAAGAGCCGCGCCGTCCTCGCTTCTGCTCACAGTCACTTGTTTCCTCATTAATAAAACAAAGGAAAAAAAAACTTCCTACATGTAGTCTGTGAGAAAGCAGGAAAGGAGAGAGAGAAAGCCAATAGGATCGTGTATGACCCAGCGCCGTACAGATAGTAACAGTTTTTGAGTGATAAAAGCTATAAACACAGTACTCTGGGAGGCTGATCCAGGAGGATTGACTGGTGCAGCAAGATCCCGTCTCAAAAAAGGGGTGCGGGCTGTAGCTCAGTGGGAAGGCCCCAGTACCACAGGCACAAAAGAAGGGTAACTCTTTGCCCCTTTAGCCGGGAGGTGGTGACGACTGGTTCTTAGCAGTTTAGTCCTAGCTCTCTCCGCTGTTCCTTAGCTCTCATTTTTAAAGGGATTAGAGTTCAGTGCCTGTCCAAAGCTTCCAGTAATGAGCAGGTAGAAGATGTGCTGTTCTCTGAGGATTAATTAGTAATCAAAACACGGAGAGGAAAAATAAGCAAGAATCAAATGCCCTCTGTCTAAAAGAGGCAGTCTTTGAGCGGAATGACCAGAATACAAAGCTACTAAACTCTTATTCTTAAAATTCTTAAATTGGTACTCTGTGATCTTTTGTGGAATTCCTTAAACCTCTACCAAGTTTTTTTCTTTTCAAAATCTCATGGTGTTGATTTAGCTAATTAATGTCCCTGAGGTATTCAAAAAAATTTTCCTAGGTACCTAAAAACATTTTCTTAGGGACCTAAAATTTTTCCTAGGTACCTAAAAAAATTTTCCATGTTAAGTGTTCTTCACTTTTATACAGTGAACCAAGCTAGAGTTTAAGTACAAACTGGATGTTTAGGCTTTTAGTCTTAGATAATGATGACTTCTTATTCCTGTGTGCTTATGTGAGTTGATTTATTCTGTACTATTTACCTGGGCACTGGGTAGCATAACCAACAAACCAGCAGGCTATCTATCTATCTATCTATCTACCATCTATCTATCATCTATCTGTCTGTCTATCTATCTATCATCTATCAAGAAAGATTTATTTTAAGGAACTGCCTCATGGGAATATGGGGCTGTCCAGAGTGCAGGCTGGAGCTGAGGGATGACCTTGCATTCGGGGTGACCTTACATTGGAGACCAGCTGATGTTGCCGTTCAAGTTCAAAATCCATCTGGACGTAGAATTCCCTCTGCCGTCTCTTTTCGTAAGCCTGGGAGCTGATTGGATGAGCTCACCCATATTAGGAAGGGTCGTCCAATTTACCCAAAGTCCATTGATTTAAGTGTTATTCTCATCCAATAAAACACCTCCACAGAAGCATCTAGAATATTGCCTGACCGATGTCTGGGTACCGTGGCCCACCAAACTGACACATGGTTTTTGCCACCACATCTACCATGAGCTGGGGCTTGTGTCAGACCCTGAACATCCTGCGTTTGTGACAGTTACATTCTGACAACTGCCGTTAAATGCCCCCGCTGTGCCACGTGAATTGCATCTTTTGTGTTTCACAGTTTGCCTGGATTTTGTTTCTAATTGCCTGTGAGGTTTTCTCTTCTCCTTGGCCATCTGGTTAATCACTTTCTGATGCAAAGATTTGCCTAAAACAAGTACAGTCAGAATGCCCCAGATCCTTTCCATCTGAGGATGCTGCAGAAGTGGTAAAGAGCCCCGGCCCAGGAGCCCTGCCTGCCCGCTGACCCTGGACAGCAGCCCCCAGCCCCCAGCTCAGTGCACCTGGCTGCCCCTGCAGGACAGACTCTCTCGGGGCTTCACCTCAGTCTCCCCAAGGGAAAGTGGCGTCTGGGGAGGTTTCCTTCTGGTAAAGGGGCCCCTTGCTGACCCTCTCTCTTTAGGGACACATGGGCCTCCGGCAAAGCCCCACTGGCCCCCAGCACTGTGAAGCCAGCCCAGGGCCTCACGTCATGGGGGTGGTGTGGGCTCCAGGCCAGGTTTCACTGTTGCTGGCCGGGTGGTGGCAGGCCCGTGGGCAGCTGGGCAGTGGCATCAGCACAGCACCTGGGCGCACCCTGGCCTGCCCCACCCTGCCTGGCACAGCTGGAAAGCCTGTGCAGTCGAGCTGTTGTTTCTGTGCCAGAATTTAGGTCTGTCTTTTAACACGCTGAGTGTGTGTAAATTTGGGCAGGGTTAGGCTGGGCATGGTGGAGCCCGCCTGCCATCCCAGCACTCAGGAGGCTGAGGCAGGAGAGTAACTGCAAATTCAAGGCCAGCCTGAACTACATAGTAAGACCCTGTCTCAAAAAATAAAACAAGTCTTGGGCAGCATTTGCTCACATCCCCTGTAGCCCACTGTTTTATACATGCTTTTTCAATTTTTATTTTTGATTAATGCGTGTCTGCAGTACATAATGATTACATCTCTCATGGGAGAGTTGGTGCCTGGACATAACGCATCTTAGTTATTTTCTGACCCTCTTTTCCTCCCCTCCCCCACCCTCCCTCCACCTCTCAGCCCCTTCCCCTTTGCGGAAGATCTGTCTCCCTGATTCCCACCATCTGCCTTTTATTCTGCTCTTTGTTTATACTTTGGGTTTCTCATATAAGAGAAACTATGTGACATTTAATCTTGTGTGTCTGATTTATTTCCCTTAACATGATGGTCTCAAGGTGGGAGACCGTGTTTATCTTGCTCTGCGGCAGAATAGTGCGCCTTTGCATGTAAACACCACATTTTCTTTATCCATTCGTCTGCTGATGGATGTAAGGGCCACTTCCAAGATTTACCCATGGTGTTCTAAGTGAGTCGGGATTCTTCAGACTGCCCCATTCCCTAGCATGGCTGGAGAGACAGGTAAATCTCACCTCTATGGAGAGAGACAGACAGAGAGGTAGTCAGGTATACGGGGCCTTGGACCCTACTTCTCTGGAAAGCTGGGATACCAGTAAAGAGGCCAGGGCAGGAGGCCAGGCCAGGGGTTCCTCTGTGGCACGGGCAGCTGGTGTCCCGGTGGGCTCTGCAGGTGGGAGCGCCCACTGCTTAGCGTCAGGGTGTGACGTGGCAGGCCCTGAGGAGGAAGGTCCTTCCTGCGCCTGTGCCCCTTGCAGCACCCTGTCTGCAGGGAGACAGACCCGAGGGCACTCCGCCCGCCCTCCCCACGCAGCCTCCTGGACCCACGGTGACGCGGCACGGCTGTCTCCCATCTAGATTGGTACTACCACCTCCCGGCCAAGCGCTCCGAGAGGGCCGTGGGTGCCCCGCCGACGTCCCAGATCCCAGGGCTCAGCAACCTGGGCGACTCACAGGACCGGAACGCGCTCGGGGCCAGGAGGTACTGGATCAAGGAGACAGACTCCGAGTACGTGAAGCTCGCCAAGCAGGGCGGCAGACCCGGTAAGCCCGAGTGACCCTTGCACAGACACACACACACATCTCTATAGCCACAAGGGACAGGACGGCGGAGCTGTGCCTTTGCTGCCTTCTTTATTGCAAAGAGGCTCCCAGGGAGCTGTTGAGTCCAGGCGGGAATCTGCCTGCGTTTTAATGTCCCTGCTTGCCCATCCCATTGCCATTGAGGCAGTTTTCCTTTTGCTCCTTGCTGGTTGTCCTCACCGTTCCTGGTCCATAGTAGGAATATTTCAGTGGTAGTGGAGATTGAACCAGGGCCTTCCCACTGAGCTACACCTCCAGCTCTTTTTTAAAAAAAAATTATTTTTCATTTTGAGACAGGGTCTCCCTAGCTTGCTCCGTTGCCCAGGCTGGGCGTGAACTTCCCGCGTCCCTGGCTCAGCCTCCCAGAGTGCTGGGACGACAGGCCTGCGCCACTGTGCGCTGTTGGAATGTATTTTAAATAATGGAACCCACCAGTGTGTTTCCGTGGTGGTGATGATGAAAATTAACTCTTAGACTCAGAAGATTTCATTGAGAAATTAGGCTGAGACTGTGGCATACTGAGTGTGATAGAATTCATTGTTCAGAGGGGGAAAGGCTGAAACATCTCACAGTGAGCCAGCTTTGGGGTAAGGGACATTGACAGCTACTGGACTTTTCTTCCATCCCCTCTGGCTGCCTTCACCCCTACGGGGGCTGTGAGGAGCCAAATGACCTTGAGATTCTGGACCACAGCGTTGGACCGACCCGGCAGGAAGCAGGTAGATCGGGTTGAGTACTTTTTTCTGTCTATCTCAACCTCCTGTTGGTTGAAAGAACAGTGCGGTTGTCACGTTTTCTCACTGCTGGCCACATGGACAGAGGCCACTTGTTTTGGCAAAAAGGACTTCCTCAAAGCTCGCTCCGGGGAGACGGAGGGCCCCGTTTGCCTCGGAATGCCACCTCCCGGGTGCAGGTGGGCAAAGGTCCTTTGTAGCAAGGAACAAGGGGAGGGGCCCAGAGAGAGCGCGCGGAGCTCCCGGTGCTGGGCTCTCCTGGCGTCTTCAGCTCTCTGTCCTCTTTCTCATGAAAGGAAGCTGAGCTCCTGCCTCAGGGCCAGCGTCTGCACATTGTGTCCCTTTTGGGGACTGAGGAGAGGTGGGTTGTAGCTTCTGAGGAGGAAGCAGCTTGGAGAAGTCGCTTATCTCTAAACAAGTTTAACTTTGAAAGTTCTGTTTTGCGGTGTCCACTGCAGGACGCCTGGCAACAGCTGCATGCGGTCTGTGAATCAGATCTAAGCATTGCGGAAAACCACTTTCCAGATGGGGTCACCATGCAGTGGTCCCTGATTTGGGTCACCTCTGGAAACTGGTGCTGACACAGAGAAGCAAAAAAGATTTCCTGTCTGCAACCTGCTGCCCATTATTGTTCTAGTAACAATAACAATCATTAGCTGGGCCTGGGAGCGCACACCTGTAGCCCCAGCACTCTTGGAGGCTGAGGCAGGAGAATTGAAAGTTGAAGCCCAGCCTGGGCGATTTAGCAATTTAGGTAGGCCCTATCTCAGATTTTTAAAAAAGGCTGGGGTTGTAGCTCAGTCCAAAGGCTTCAGGCTCCAGGATTACAAAGTTAATCCATCAGTCAATCAATCAGTGACCTGGGCATGGTGGTGCATGCCTGTAATCCTAACACTTGGGAGGCTGAGGCAGGAGGATTGCCACAAGTTTGAGGCCAGCCTGGGCTACATAGTGAACTCAAGGCCAGCCTGAACTGCATAGTGAGACCCTGTCTCAAATAAATAAATAGTTTAAAAATGGAAAGTTAAACATTTCTTCCTGCAAGCAATATATCAGTGGAAGCTTTCTGTTGCTTCAGCGAGGCTATTATTGCCCCCATTCTACTGCAAATCAGTTCTTCTGCTCCCTCTTGGCACGAGGGGAGGGGATGGAGGGATGCAGGTAGACAGCGCAGGTGAGCTGGGAGCAGGTGGGTCTCATAGAATGAGCCCGGGCTATGTGCTCCTCAAACTGGCTGCAAAGTGACTAGTAGACCTCCCGGGTGACTTTCCCTGGAAATTTTGATGGGCAGGTTGTCCTGGAAACAGCTATGGGTCAGGCACAGCCCCTCGCAGAAGAGGAGGAGGAGGAGGGGGAGGATCCACCACTGCAGCCTGGGGGAAGGGTCTGGCTAGGCGGAGGCCTGAGGACCTGGGGGGGTACTGAGCCCTGCACAGGAAGTGATGATGTCACTATGCGGAGACCAAGACTGGGGCTTGTCCAGCTCCATAACAGCAAGGTGGGGGCAGATGTGGATGCCTGTGAGGCAGGTGACAGCCACCCGCAGGCAGCCCAGGAGTGCGGCCCAGCTGCCTCCCCTCCTTGGGCTTCCTGCCCGGTGGCTGGAGCACACCCAGCACCTCTGTGTCTCTTCCCTGGAGATTTGCTGAAGCACCTTGCTCCTGGGAGCAGGAAGGGCTCCCCGGTGGCCTACGCCCTGCCGGACTGGTACATCCACCACAGCAAGCCGCCCACCGCCAGCCAGCGCCCGTGAGTACCTGGAAGCACGCGTGCTTCGGTTACGTTCCCCCCAGGCTAACACCCCAGGGTGGATTGGAACGATCCAGGTGTCTAACACTGGTCGCAGAGTGCGCGATGTGACAGGTCCAGGCGCTGCTGTACCCGAACAGCTCCTCGGGGGAGGTGACACAGCTGTGGCTGAGCCAGAGCGGGGACCGTGGCACACGCTGTGCCTACCGTGGGGTGTGGCCCCTGGGCTGCTTGTCAGTGAGCAGCCTGGGGAGTCTCCGTCCCCCGGGATACGGCCATAGCAACAGCAGCGGGTCCCCAAGCGTTCTCATTAGGATGAAGGGCAGGAGTCCCAGCTGGAAAGACAGGCACCCTGGAGCTCTGTGTGGATACGGAGCTGCGGAGAGCCAGGGTCCCCCCCAGGCTTTGGTGTCTAGGATTTCCTGTCTGTGGCCATGCACGGGACTGTCCCGCCTTGCACGGTGACACTGTGGTTTTTGTCTTTAGGATTCTGCTTCCCCCAGCTTTTTGTTTTTAACAGGAAAAACACGCAAAATGTAATACATAGCTAAGGCTGGGGGGACTTGAGTCTTTTCCCAAGGGTTAGTGCCCTCTTCCAGTGAATAGTTTCTTTGCCTGACATGTGCAAAGGCCCTGGGCACTGCACACACACAGCTACACACACGTGCTGTCACACGTGTACACCCAGAATACTTAGTGCTAAGTGGAGAAAAGGGTTGGGGCAGAACAAAAGAGACCCTCCGGAAAGAGTATGGGGGGTGCCTAGAAGTGGCCTTCCCCTGGGTACATGGTTCATATGGGAAAACCAGCTGGAAGCTGAGATACCCACATCACCTAGAACCATTTCACAGAAAACCAAGCCGGTCATTATTTGAAATGAGCATGCTAAGTGGTAACCATTTAGAGCTGTCTGTCTCTCTGAAAGGGGCCAAGTGAGCAGATGCTAACTTAAAAGAAGTAACGGAAGAGCTCTCCACTTTGTAAATCCTTGTTTTACCACACCCCCTCCACACTCTCACTGGGACCCCTGCGCCAAGGGGAGGAGGGCTGGGGTGTCTGAGGCCACACCCCCGCCCATGCGGTCCAGGGAGCCGATGGCATTTATGTAAGAGAGGGCGGAGGGAGAGAGGCAGTGGTGCGAGGTGTGACCCCCGTGCCCGCAGGGTGCCCGTGGTGTCCATGCCAGACTACATGGTGTACGAGGAGTTCCACCCCAGCCAGGCCAACGGGAGCTACGAATCCAGAAGGGGGCCCTTCGACTTCGACGTGAAAACGGTTTGGCAGAGGGAGGCCGAAGAGCTCGAGGACAGAAAGAAGGTGACCGCTGTGGATGGTGGCAGCTGCGTGTGCCGCGCTTCCCCTGGGGGGCGCGGGTCGGCTGCCCTGGGGTCGCACCCCGCGTGCTCAGCGCGTTTGCCATCCCCGTTTTTCCTACGAATATTGACTTTACGGGTAACCGTACTTTCTCCTCAGTGGTTCTGAGTCAGTCGGTGCTGGTCTGGGGGAAATCGGTGCTTCTCGTCTGGTACACAGAAGGACATTTTATATTTATTCACCGTCTTGGTTTCAAACATTTCTATGTCATTTAAGTCTTTCTGTTGCGATCTCCCTGGAGTGCTCCCTCCTGCTCATAAAGGAAGAGGAAGTCTTTTCCTCTGCACAGTCTGGAGGAGGAATATTTGACCGCGAAGGAGGACTGGGCCACAAGGGAAGCCTTCTTAGGGGTCTTGCGTTTTTAAAGAGCAGGGAAGCTGGCGAGCAATCCTGATTGGTGGGTGGGTTGTCGGGCTCAACTCTGATTGGTGGATGGGTTGTTGCACTCAGTCTTGATTGGTGGGTGGGATTTGGGGAGCTCCTGATTGGAAGCCCTTCGCATCCTCTGGTGTGAACGTGGGGTCTCCTGGGACCGCAGTTAGCTGCCAGCTCCAGGTCTGACGTGCGTCTTGGTGGCAGGGACATCGGATTTGTGAATGAAGTGATAAAATGTGTATTGAAAGTCCCGATGTCAGTTTGACGCGGAGCGCTGCTTTCACTTGCGTAGTGAGGACATGGCCGCATCCCAGGCCTGGCTTCTCACCGCCACGCTGGTGTGAAGGGACCTCAGTTTACCTTTGGACATAGGGAGAAGCATCTGCTGGCTGCCCTGGGCCGCCTGCGAGTTCTCTCCGGCTGTGATCCTGGTTTTGGGTCATTTGCCGGGTCACTGCAGATGGACTTTGTTAGGGGTTAGTACAGCTATCAGTGGTTCTTACCGAAGCTGCAGGGGCCTCAGCATGCAGGTTTTGTGCAGACACGTTTCCATTCATGTAGTCCTAGGACCCTTTAATTTCTTGCACTGATAGTTTTTCATCCTTTTCCTACTGAGTAAATGCACCTTTTTTCTTGAGACAGGGTCTCACTATGTAACCCAGGCTGGCCTCCAACTCATGGTGAATTTCCTGCCTCAGCCTCTGGAGCTCTGGATTGTAGCTGCGCGCCATGACAACAGGCTTGAGTAGAGGCATCTTCACGTGAACGCAGTGACTCTTTGGAGCCACTCGCTGCCCTCTTACGAAGCCACTTTGTGGGACAGGCTTGCTGCTGAACTGTTTCTGACCCAGTCAGTGAAATCACGGGCACACTGAGCGCCTGTCCTGCACATCCATACCTGTGCTGCTCTGACCCGGGTTTGTGTGTTTTCACGCAGGTGAGGCTGCCGGCCATTAACTCAAAGCAATCCAGCAAAGTGGGGACGCCGGTGGGTCCCAGAGACCCCGCAGGAAGCAGGCTCTCCTTCCCTCCCATGTAAGTGCTTGGGCCACGCGGCTGCCGTCTGGCTAGGTTTGGGGCTGGTCTTCTGGGTTTCATTTCCGTGGCCGTGGGACTGGAGGTTGAACCCAGGGCTTCACCTTGAGCTACACCTCAGCTCTTCAATTTTTAATTTTGAGACAAAGTCTCGCTAAGTTGCCCGGGCTGGGCTAGAACTTTCGATTCTCCTGCCTCAGCCTCCCTGAATGCCCAGATCACAGGCTGCACCACCACGCCCAGCCAGACCTGTTCCCTCCGGGCTGTGGCTTTGCCATTTGAGCATGTGTTTGTGTTTCGCCTTCGGTGTCCTCTGTGCCATGCAGCTTTCTGCTTTGCGGCCACTCGTCCGGCATAGTCCTGCTGCCTAGTCCTGGCGTTTTCTGTCACTAGCCCCAAAGCTGGGTTTGTGCCTTGTGTCCGCACTCGGATGGAGGGGACGTCGGGACGTCAGGTGCACTAACATTTGCAGCTCCTCAGCCTGGGTGAAATCCTTGAGGCCCTCTTGTGTCTCCTGACTTTTCCAGAATTCCTGCTGGGTGCTAGAATAAATGTCCTTATCTTGCTGACTAACCCTTCAGATAATTTCTCATGCAAGGGGGTGGGGGAGAGCAGTCACATCAAAGATGCCGCCACAGTCTCAGCTCAGACTGGAGGGAGGGAGAGGAGACAGAGGGACAACCATGAGGTGTACCTTACGGCGTGTCCAGGTAATCCCAGCACTCGGGAAACTGAGGCAGGCGGATCGGAGCACGTTCAAGAGCCTGGGCTATAGAGTGAAACCCTGTCTCAAAAACAAAAACAAACAAAAACAAGACATCAGGCATAACAAGTCAGAAACCTGAGGCCAGAAGGGGATAGGAAATTGAAACATAGGAAGTCTGTAATCCCAGCACGGTAGCCGGCTGAAGCACGGAAGGGTTATCTTGGGCAACTTAACAAGACTCCATCTTGAAATAAAAAGTAAATAGGGCTGGGATGTAGCTTGTTGTGGAGACCCTGCTTCAACCCCCAGAACAAAAGAGAGAGCAATGTCCTTATGGGGTACTCCACCCCGAGCACGCTTCTGGTTCCTCGCTGACTTTTGTACCTAAGTTTAGAATTCATTTTTCTCTCTCTGAGGCCTGGTCAGAAAACTAGTTCCCCAACAAACTTCTCCAAACTCATCAGCAACGGTTATAAGGACGAGTGGTTACAGCAGCAGCAGCAGCAGCAACAGCAGCAGCGAGCAGATGCTGATAAGAAGACCGGAAAGATGTCCAGGGCGTTGGTGTCATCCCAGTCCACGCAGGACCCCAAGGGACCCCAGGACACAGAGTCACCACAGGACACACAAGCTCCGGAAGTCTCCGAGAAAGCTGAAGGTCAGGTGCACCCCGCAATTCCTGCGTCCCTGTCCTGTGGTTCTAGTTCATTATGATGGCAGCAGGCGACGTTCTTATGCCTCCGTGTATCTCACGATGAGAAATGCCCAGGTGGGCGTGGTGGCGCACACCTACAATCCCAGCACTCTGGGAGGCTGAGGCAGGAGGATGGCATATTCAAGTACTGCCTGTGCAGCTTAGCAAGACCTGTCTCAAAACAAGTAATTTTTTTTAAAGGGCTAGGGATGTAGCTTAGTGTGATAGCCTTGGCTTTAATCCCTAGGACAGGAAAAAAATTTTGTTAGAAAAACCACAGAAGTATTAAGGTCACAGGTAACTATGAAGATAATGTATTCTTCGTTTTCTGCTTGATCTCTGGGGCTTTGTTTGTCAAAATGTTGATTCTCCATTTGATATGATGAGCACTGAACACAGTGTCTTGGTTTCTTTTCTCTTGTTACTGAGGCAAAATACCTGCCGCCCAAAATTAAGGAAGGAAAGGTTTATTTAGCTCAGAGTTTGTGGAGGTTTCAGTCCATACTCGGCTGGCTCCAAGGCAGAGTGGCACATGACAGGGGCAACAGTTCATGGAGGCAGAAAACAGGAAAAGCAGCAAGAGCAAAAGGGGAGGAGCAGAGCAGCACGAACAAGCCTTTCCCTCCCCTATACTGTATGCAGGCCGCCTGCCCCAGGGTGGGTGCAGCACTCACACCCATAATCCCAGCAATGGACCATGATCATAAACCCTAAAAGCCTGCCTCATGCCTGCGAAGGCTTTTGGGGGCATCTAGACACAAACCCTAACACACAGTGAGTCTCCGATGTACGAACGAGGTTAAGTCAGATTCACTCATAATCCGACAAGGCAAGTCGCACGCAGTACACCTGCACATTTTAAGCTGTGCACCGTTGCAGGTTCGAGCCTCCAGTGTTCATGGGCTGGGGGGGGGGGCTCCCTGTGCTCCAAGGGACAGCAGCTTTGGTCTCGGATCCACAGAGCCCTGACTCCACGAGGCGGGCTTGGCGAGGCTCCTTCATAAAATCCCTCAAGTTTGACTTTTTTTTTTTTTGCAAAGAACTCAACATTCAAACTTGCAACTGCTCCATTATCTACATTTTTTAAAATGTTGAATTATTTAGAGCTTTCTCTGTAATTAGATGTTCCAATTACTACATTGGTTTTTATTTTTGACAGTCACGGAGAGAATTATTCTCATTTTTGGGGGATATATCCATTTGATAGCTGAGTGAATACTGTCTTTAGTTGCCATAGCTCCATTAATTGTTGATTGGCTGCCTCTGGGCAAACTATTTTCATCTCGGGGCTCCTTCCTGTGATTAAGGGAAAGAAGGCATCAAGTGTCCTCAGACAGCTGAAGTGCTTGATATGGCTGTGTGTGCTTGTGTGTACATGTATGTTGTATGTGCATGTGTGCACGTGTACATGTGTGTGCGTGTATGTGCATGTATGTTGGGTGTGTGTGTGTGTGTGTGTGAGAAAGAGCACACAGGTCTGCTTGGCTCTTGACGCACAGTTCCTTGCTACCATGTTTGGGCTACGCCTGCACACAGGCCAGGTCTTCCTTCCCTCTCTGTTCCTGTTTTCTTCTCTGCATGGGTTTTAAACTTTGTAAACTGCAGAGGCCAAGCCAGAAGGCGCCTTTCCCGGCCAAGGTGGAACCTCCCCTTGGAGCTGCCTCTGGGACTTTCTGGCGTGAAGCTTTCTTGTTAGCATCTTTCCTTCCAGGAGAGCAGGACTGTGGTCATTTCACTGCTGCTCCCTGCAGGTCTCCTACGTGGGCGAGCCAGATGCAGGCTTTTAGGTCACGGCTTCTGTGTTATACTTGACTGAGGCCCCCAGGGACGCATGGTGTGGGACCTGGGGCGCGGGGACAGAGGCACCCAGGGTCCCATTTGGCTGGGAGGGCTCCTGACGGAGGCAAAATCACAGCCCCCAGGCAGTGCTTCTGCTGCCTAGCTCGCCTCGGTGTCCTTGCTGCAGAACCTCGTCCCGAGGACAGCATGGCTCGGGGACATGAGTGTCCCATATGCTTTCCTCCTCCTAGGGTGGCCTGGGCATGGCCTCTCACAGAGGATGTGTGCTGGGAGCTCAACTGGAGGCTTCTTTTCTTTTATTCTCAGTACTGGAGATTAAACTTAGGGCTTCTGCACCGAGCTGCATCCTCTGTTCTCTTTTTTAAAAATTACTATTATTTTTAGCTTTGATACAGGGTCTCACCAAGTCACTAATTTACCCAGGCTGTCCTCAAACTTGCAGTCCTCCTGCCTCAGCTTCCCCAAGCGCTGGGATTACAGGCGTGTACCACCACACCCAGGTGGATCCTCAATTTTTAGGTAGATGTTAGGTTTAAACCTAAGAACAGGAGCAGAAATATGTGCTTTTTTTTACTTGAGGCGAAGGGGTCCACTTTGTGATTTTTAAAGGAATGCTGCCTTTACCTGTCTACCATGTATTTATTGTGCATTGCAGGTCCAGAAACACCTCCACCGGCGCCGACGCCAGCAGAGCCGGAGTAAACCCGGTGTAACATTCGGGATCACTTTCCCGGGAGCCAGCTGCGAGGTGGCTGCATTCCCACAGGTCCTGTGGCATTGATGAATAGAGATTGTTATGCAACAGCGTGTCCTGCAGCAGATTTGATATCACTATGGCGTAGGCGGCGACAGGGCTGGCCTCTCTTTCTTGCATTTCTCTCTGAGACGTCACCCACCGCTCAACAAGTGCAACTGCGGTCCTGCTGTCCTTTGGCTGGCAGGGCTGGCGACGTCCCCTCCCCTGGGGACCCAGTTACTTCCTTCCTGCTTCCCACTAGCATCCCTCCCGCATGGGGCTGGGGCAGCGTTGGTCTCAGATCCTGAACAGGAAGAAACTCAGAGAGAGCTTCAAGCCCTTCCCATCTCTTGGTCCTACAATCTTCGTAGAAATCATTTTTCTCTTACAAAAAGCGATGAATTTTAGAATATGGTGATACCATTTATATTTAAAAGGATTTTATTATGACTTGGAGTTTTAAACATTTAGTACACAATAAAACATTGTAACATTTGCTAGTTTTAAATTTTTTGCTAATACTTTCTAAAGTCCAGACTGTTAAACATTCATTTTGTATCCTTTCAGTAAAAATACATTTAATTTAGTAGGATTCTCAAAAAAAGTTTTTAATAATCAGACTGGTCTTTTATAAAGTTTATCATAGTTTCTATATAACTACTTTGCCTTCCACATAGTTTTACATTTTGTATGTTTAAGTCATTAATAAAATAATTTTTAACAAGGAAGCTTTTAGGAAGACAGAGATTTTAGCTTCCTTCACAGAATCAATTTATCATGCATGCACTCAACTAAAATTTAAGTTTCAAACTAGTTCATTAACTGAGATACTGAACTGAGCACTTATACGTACATTGTTTAATTACACTTATGATGGGAGGATGAATGCAATGTGTAATTTGAATGGCTATCTGTATTGAATAAAAGCAATATACCTACACAGTAAGTCTTTTCCTCTCTTTCCTTTTTTTTCTTTTCTTTTTGTCTTTTTCAGACAGGATCTCGCTATGCAGTTCAGGCTGATCTTGAGCTCACTTTGTAACCCAGGCTGGCCTTGAACTTGCAACGATTCTCCTGCCTCAGCCTCTGGAGTGCTGGGATTACAGGCGTGCGCCACCATGCCTGGCATGTTTCCTCTCTTTCCTCCATTCTCCTGCTTTTCTTCTGCTCAGTTCCTACCTCATCGGCCAACAATCCCGTCTTCATGAAAAATTCATGAGCAATGTGTACGATAGTGTAGCACTCTTCTTGTTTTTTTTTTCTTTTTTTCTTTTTTTTTTAGGTTGTTACATTCAAAGAAACTTGTGGCTTATGGGGAGAGGGGACACAGTTTGTAGTAAGAATCAGTGATCAAATCTTGGCCTCACCTCAGGTAGCCAGGGTCTGTTATTGAAAAAAATTCATTCTGTTGTTAGCTTCCTGGTTGGTAAAATGCAGCCAGCATTGTGAAAGCAGAAAACTTACACTGCCATCCAGGTTTCTTTTTTTCTTTTTTTTTAAATAAGTAACAATTCTAAAAAGTAAGAACAGTGCACGATCATAGTAAATATAAATCATCTGTTAAAAGCAGCACTTTTTTTTAAAGCAGCATATTTTAGAAAATGAACTCTACAGATTTTGTGCATTCGCAGGGACGTTTTCATGGGTGTCTCTCTTTCTCTCTCTCTCTCTCTATCTCTTTCTTTCTCTCTCTCTCTCTCTCTCTCTCACACACACACACACACACACACACACACACACACACACACACACACTCACCCCTTCACGGAGCCTGACATTTCTGTGGAAAGCATAGCCCCCTTAGCTCAGCTCGCCCCTGAGTTAGCTTGGTTCAAAGACAGGAGCAGCATCTGTCTATCCTGAATCTCATTTCCTGTAGAAAGGGAGAGGAGACGCCCAGAGGCTGTGTGGGGAGCAGGGCAGCAGCGGCGCTGGCAGAGAGGGGAGCTGCGGGAGTGCGTTCGAGGGGAGACGCTCAGCCGAGCCCAAGGGAGCCCTAATGCCAACAGGAAAGAAAGCAAACCCAGGGCACAGCAGAAGCAGCTGTGCATGAGTTTGATTCCCGGTACCAAAAAAAAGCAGCTGTGCGGAGCGGGGTGAGTTCTCTGCTCCCCGGCACTCCGTTCCCGGGTCTTCAAAGCTCGTCCTCACTGTACTGAAAAGCATGGAAAAGCGCCATAGGTCCCACCAGTGACTTCCCCGGGGCGCTTAGGGAGAAACGCCAGTTCCAGGATTGCTTTCGGAGGCGGAAGCAGGGGGAGTGACTCCCAGCTTACTCCAGAGGCCTAATGCAGAAACTGGACATAGACATTACAAGAAGAGAAGGGTACTGAACCGAAAATGTTTTCTTTTCAAGCCGACGTAATATCCAGTGATGAGAATCGAAGGTCCCCTGCTAAGGTGGGGGCGACGCAAGGTTTCCCTGTTGTAGGCAGCTGAGCTAGAAATATTACAGGCAGCAGACAGGGCAGGGCCCTTGAAGGAGCCGGTATGGAGACAAGATACCTTGCAACTGTCTGCCGTGGGCCAGACCTCAAGACAAAAGATGAAACAAAGGCACCCACATACCTCCCTAGGGATGGACCTCAGGGATTGATATTCTGAACAGGTATCAATCGCCTTGAAAAAGCCAGGAAGAACCATTACCCCGCCCCCTGCCGGAGACCTCTGTTCTGTATTCATGCCCGCTTGCTACGTGACTCGCCTCCCCATTTGGTCCCAGTTTAATCAATTTTACTTGAGCAATCCTGCTTGTAATCTTACTGGCTGACCATAGTTTTGTCCACCTTGTGAGTTCCCATTTTTCTCTACCTCAGACCTGCCACACCTCGTGGATTTGCTCTACAAAATCCCTAGAAAAGGCAGGGTCCTGGGCAGCCCACTCGGGCCCCCTTCTGTCTCCCTCTGACAGAAGCTTTTGTATCCTCAACAAATACACTCTGCTCGTAAGCTCTGTTGTTCCTAAAATTCATTTTTCAATTTTAGAGAACATGAACTCATCCCAGATATCTCGCAGTTTGGGAGTTCCTTTCCCCTGTACCAGTCTGCTTTTATCACCGCTTTTCAGCAGTGTGTGGGAGTCCTAACTGATGGAATAGGATAAGAAATAAAAGGTAAGGAGACTGGGAAGTGTGACGTGGGAATGTCCGTCAGTCACCCAGGATCCATCTATGGAAGCTGAGTCCATGTATGGCACTAGGCTGAGGCAGGAGGATCCCTGTGATTTCCAGGGCAGCCTGGCTACATGGTGAGTTCAATGCCAGCCTGAACTGTACAGTGAGAACCTGTCTCAAAAAGACAGAGAGAGTCAGAGAGAGAGAGAGAGAGCACCCAAGGAGCCTGCTCATTTCTTTTTTTTTTTTTTTTTTTGGTTTTTCTCCGGTACCGGGAACCGAACTCCCGACCTTGCGCTTGCCAGGCAGGCGCTTTTGCCGCCAAGCTAAATCCCCAGCCCCGGAGCCTGCTCATTTCTCCCAGCACAGGAGAACTCGGCCAGGAGGCTCCACCTACGAACCAGGACCTGTGCCTGGAACTTTCTACACCTTAGAACTGAAGAAATAAACTATGGGTGTCTGTGAGCTACCCAGTATACGGAATTAAAATCGATAGGAAAGAAGAAGTAAAACTATCATCATCCCCAGGGCACATGATGATCTATGTAGAAAATCAATTGACAGAGAAACAAAGCTCTTAGAACTAGTGAACAACTGTAGCAAGGTTGCAGAACACAACGCTAATACACAAAAATACAAAGCTAATATAAAGCTAATATATAATGTGTTTGTATACATTCCAAACTAATAAGGTTGCAGAATACAAAGCTAAAATACTTTCCTATATACTAAAAAATGAACAAGTAGGATTTAGAATTTAACCATGAGACCATCTACAATGGCCGCCTAAAAATGAAATACTGAGGTATAAGTCTAACAAAATATGTACAGGGCCATATGAGGAAAACTACAATACTTTGATGAAAGAAACCGAACTAGAACTAAAGAAATGGAAAGACAGATATTCCATGTTCATAGAGAAGAAATGTTATAGAAAATAGGGTCACGATGCCAGCTTTTCTTAATTTGATCTATAGATCCAGTGCAATCTCAGTATCCCAGCAAGTTTTGTGGATATTGACAAAGTGACTAATGAGAGATAAATAGTTCTGTTTGTTTGTTTGGTTGTTTTTTGGGGGGATGTACTTTTCTAAAAATTTATTTTAAAAATAAAAGAAGGATAATACATTAACAAACAGACAACCATTTACAAAATAGCAAAAGAACATACAAACAATACAGAGTTGCAGATAAAGTGGTAGGAAATGAACAATGCTTGTTGTGTTACATATTGATATCTTCAATGTGGTTTGGGTATGTGCTTTTGAGACAGAGTTTTGCTACACAGTTCAGGCTGGCCTTGAACACACAGTAATCCTCCTGCCTCAGCCTCCCAAGGGCTGGGATTATAGGTGTGTGCCACCTTGCCTGGCTGAGACAAATGGTTCTGAACAGGCAAATGAAATGAAAGGAGAAAACCAGAGGGAGGGGGCCTGTGGGGGATGATCTGGATGACTCTCCTTGAAAGAATGATTGTCTCCATTTTGGCTAAACCTAGCCCTGATTCCGTGTATGGATGTGTGCAGAGCTGGCTAGGACTTTTCCTTATCCCCTCGGTTGGCTTTAACAATGCAAGTGGGTCCAGCCAGGGTGCTGATGTGTGGTCTTTACAGCAAGATGACAGGGCAGTGAGGCCCCGCCTACAGCTCTTAAGTAATATGTGTGAGTGAGGCCCTGGGTAGCCACTCTGTGGGCTGGGACGGAACCTCAAGATAAGAGGCTATGACTCCTCATGGTGTAAAAAATGACACATCAGAATGGAAGCACCGACCCCACAAAACTAGATACTGCCTTGAATAGTGTTATGCAGATTACTCTTTCTGCATCTCTCTTTTTCTCCCTCTGCATTTGCAGAGGTGATTTTGGGCCTCCTTCCTAGCCCAGCTTACAGCACTCACCTACTTCCCACCTTTCTCATAGTCCCTCCTCCCTGAGCCACTGCCCTCTTCCAGAATTAAAAAAACCCAGGCCACACCCTGGGTTGAGGGCTTTGTTCCGGTTAGCCATCATTGTAGCTGGGCTGAGGACCCCTTGGCTCCCCACAACTGCAAATATGCCTTACTGTCTTTATTCTCACCATGGGTTGCACTGGAAGTGGAAGATTGGAATTAACGCACTAGAATTCCAATGACTTTGCCATGGGATTACAAGTGTGGATTTTTCTGGACCTCAATGAGTTCTAGAAGGGCTTTCTATGAGGGACTCACACTGCCCAACTCTGAGACTGACTGTGATGCTGCAGCCAGTGTGACTTTGTGTTATTGGTAAATGAAAATAGAACAGTCAATGCGGTATGATAGAGTGCCCGGAAACGGATGCATGTAAATACAGACAATCGATGCCGAAAAGAAGAGGAAATGGTCTTTCTAACAATTGTGCTGGAATAATCAACATTGACGAGCAAAAAAAAAAAAAAAAAATTGACACAAGCATTTATTCACAACAATTTACTCTAAAAAGGATCACCATAAAATGTAAAACTACACCACTCCCTGAAGATCAGACAGAAGAAAATCCAGGGAATCTTGAGTTTGGTGATGACATTTTAGGCCCAACTCAAAGACGTGATCCATGAGAGATAGAATTGATCAGCTGAGCTTCACAGAAATCACACGCTTCTGCTCCGTTAAAGACATTCTCAGGAGCATGAAAAGACAAGCTACAAAGTAGGAGGAAATATTTCCAAAAGAAAAGTTGAAGAAAGGAGTGATGTCCAAAATACATGAAAAGATTTTAAAATTCAACAGAAGAAAGTAAACAATCCAATATAAAAATGGCCTTCATAGATTCCTCAGCACAGGAGATGTTCAGAGGGGAGGTACAGATATG